GAATGATCTTCATCTTCACCGCCCACATGTCCTAGTTTGCGTCGGTGAGCATCGGGTACTGGATGGGGATGTTGCGATGGCCTGCACGTTGGCGCTGCCCGTTCCGCCACCACTGGTTGCTGACTTGCCGCCCTTCTTCACCTTGTCGCCGATCTTGCTCGTCTTGAAACCGCCGTTGCCGGACTTGTTCGCCTTGGAACCGCCGTTGCCGGACTTGACCGGCTCAGCGTCGCTATCCGTCATCGTAGATCGTAGATTGTCGAGGCTCTAGATACTAATTGTTGGTTTTTGATCCTTAGATCAAATCACCCAGAATCTCTCACACAGGTAGTGCAAAGCTAGCTAGATGAACGTCTAGCCGGCGACTTATGTACGTGTATGTAGCTTCCGTACATGAGCAAGCTAGGGCTCTATTTATTCTATCAGACTCGGCGAGACTCACGTAGCAGCGAACGAAACAACAGGAAGGAAACTGATTTTGGTGATAGCTACAGGAGCGTGTCGCTCCTGGGCTTTTTCTTTGTATTACTTTTTTCGTTGTTACAGCTTACAGGGGCTGGGTACATGTATAAATAGCAGGCAGGCTAGCTAATTACATGACCGAGACGTATAGGATATCTAATCCTAGTAGGACTACCAATCCTAGATGGACTTGGATACAAGCACGTTCCGTGCAAGTTAAGTCGTGCTTAACTCTAACAGGGTGGGGGCTGGTTGTGGGGGAGATGTGCGTGCGTTGACCAGTCCTCGGGCTGAGAGGACGAATAGGAGATCGGACAGTTCGGTCGGGCTGATCAGACGGTCAATGAGGCGGCTTTAAATTCCTGACATCAGCCGGATAATTTGTAGCAGCTGCCCTTTCTTTAAGGTAAATGTTTACAAACGGCGCGCCGGCCGAACACTCGGCTAGTCGCGCCGCGTCACACGCGCCTCTGTCGCTCCATGTGTGTATATGGGTCCACCCGACCGCTTTCCCCTCATCATCTTATATCTTTCTGGTCAAGCGCAGCCACTCATCCCCTTTCCAATCACTACAATATCTAAGCTCCCTAGATTATAAGAGCTGTGAGCGCTCCGAGGCTAGGAGGGACATATGGTCCTGTCTCATTTTCTAGAAGAACCATTTAGCGTTTCTTAGAAGATTCACGGTCTTTTACTAGATGCATATATATTGTTTTTCAACATTGTACAATCGAAGTTGCTCATATACACGACTAGACGAGCATACACCTATCCTTATGAATGCATGCACGCAAACCTTACTCCTATGAACAATTCTAAGAGACTAAACTGGCACATCATCTTGAGATTGATGAAGTCATCATAGATATCTTCGTAGTCAATGAGAACGTCTTCTCTCACTGAACGCACATTGCAAAAGGTTGTTTACTATTTAGGTCAACCATCCAACTACGTGTGCCCAACACTTGATGGGTTACGCTTACTCTCTGAACTAAAATCACGATATTTATTTTAGATCAGAGGGACATTTTTTCAAGAAAAAAACATGTCACTCATGTACATCTCGTACGAGGGAAATTAATGATGCAGCCCACTATATCCACGCATATCCAAGTAATGTACAGTCGCATGGTCACCGCCAGCTTGGCCCATCATCGCCTCCGTGTCACATGGTTGCAATATGGGCGCCGCCGGTCCACTACCACGCCGCATGCCCGCCCATCTCTCCATATTTCTCCCATTCTCTAATGGCGGTATGCCCGAGCCATCACCGCCTCCTCCGCACCACACGGTTGCAGGCACCCGGCCCATCTCCTACTCCTCCCTGTCATATGGTTGCACGGGCGCCGCCAGTCCATCACCGCCTCCTCCGTACCACATGGTTGCACCGGCACCCGGCTCACATCGCCTCCTCCGCACCACAAGGTTGCACCGGCTTTGCATGTCCACCACCATGCCGCACACCCCCGCCCATTGCTCCATCTTTCTCTCCTTCTTTTGTATGGTAATTAACGTCCAAAGATGATGATGCTCGGGGCCTAGAGGAGTAGGCGACAAGGTAGGCCGCCATGGCTAGCAATGGTGCTAGATAGGGATGACTGTCGTCTTCAGAACTTGGTCGCCTTCATCAACAAGCCATGGTCCACAGGGTCTACAGTACAACTCGCGATACCTCCTTCCTCTCCCTTTGTCATCCTTTCTTTGGTAGTTTGATTCAAATTCAATCTCACTTGCTTCGGTGATAAACAAGTAGCCGATTATACTGGGATTTTATCTCACCATGTAAGGTTTAAATCCGAAAGCCTCATTCTTCACTGCTTGAGTACCATGTCCGTGCTTGTGGATCAACAACCTTAGGAAGTTTATACCTGACATGCTTTATGCTACCTCTGTTCCACAATGCAGTGCATATTAGTTTTTTTCAAAAGTCAAAGATGTCCATGTTTGATCAAGTTTTTAGAATAAACTATCAATATCTCAAGTACTAAATAAAAATATTATAAAATTACACGTGGATATTGATTTTTTTTAAAAACTTGGTCAAACATTGATAAGTTTGACTTTTCAAAACAAAGTATGCAGTATATTTTAGAACGAAGGCAATATTAATTAGCATATGGTCAGTGCCTAAGGAGTAGGGTCTCTAACTAAACTTAATTGGCACTAAAACAATAAGACAAGATGATAACTAGGTTTTCCCATGAAGATAGTTTTGTTAATTGTCACTGGGTCGCATGTACACAACTGATTAGGCCTTATTAATGCATCAATAATGTTACATTCGAATGAAAAGTTAGATCAAACACTTGTATTAATATCTCTTGATCTCCATTTCCGTCTCTTCCTCTTAGAGGCTGCTATCAACATGCTTCATTCCCTTTCCTGTCGTTAGTCAGTGCCAAGCATTGCTTCTATTTCAAATATGTTCTTTCTATGTTGATTCTGCACATCTAAATGGTCATATTGAAAACCAGAAGCAATATATTTTGGTGTAGTGTTGCAACTTTGATGTATTTCTCACCTCCACTACCCTTTTTATTTATTGTTGGTGTTTTATGTTATTTGTATGTGAACAAGGTAAGTTATGAAATATTGGTTGGTCAAATCATAAAGTTATATGATTGTTGTGGATGGATACTACAATTAGAAGGCTCGGTTGCCTATATCATAGTTTTGAATTAGTTTTGCGGATGGATATTATCATGTCCATCCAGTACATGATTTAACCCCGCAGGTTCAGGACATGCTTGATGTCAACCACTACTTTGGATATGTTTTTAACAGTACTGCTAACATATCATTCTTGTGAAGAACAATAGTTGCAAAAAAACCTAAGTAATATCCTACCAAGCAAATGATTGTGTGTCTTAGACTCTGCACATATCCTGCAATGCAATAAAGGGGTGTTACGATCCTAAATTATGGAAGCCAAAACACAAGGCCCATGAAATGAACAACAAGCCCGACCTGCAAATAGAGATGCAAGGAATCTATTCGTGAATTAGTAAACAAATAAACGGTAAAAAAGTAGAACGGCGCAGCAAAGCGCGCGTATGCTTCTAGTCCTATCTATTCCCAATCTTCTTCCTCCACAACCACTCCGCACCGGCCATGGCCAGCCATGCGCGGGTCAATCTCGCCGGCGAGCTGTCCTGCTGCGGCGCTCGCGCAGCTCCTACCTCCCCAGCCGCGCTACAACCGGCTGACTTTTATGCTGGAACCATGCTGGCGAAGAGCTGCAACCAGCTTTCCTAGGGATGGAGACGACGCGGTCCGGTGCAACAACCGGCTCGCTTTTTTGCTGGAACCGTCCGGAGAAAAAGCTGCATCCACACCGAGCAGTGTTTTGCCATCGGATGACCAGTACATTTGATTTGCTGGCACCGGATTTTTTGTTTTTCTACAACCGGCGAGTTTTTTTGCTGGAACTGTGTTTGTTTTTGCTACAACGCGATTTTTTGTTTTGCTGGAATGCGGGCCAAATTGTTTGCAATTTTGCTACCACCGGCTTGTTGATTTGCTGGAACTGGCTTAATTTTTTGCTACCACATTCATTTTTGGGCTTTTTTGTCACCGGTTGTAACTTTTTTCATTGTTGAAGCTTTTTCCATTGTTGAAGCTTTTTTCATTGTTGGATGAAGCTTTTTTTTCGTCGGCAGATGAAACTTTTTTGTCACCGGTTGTAACTTTTCATTGGTCGTTCATAGTTTTCCGTCATACGAGTTGAAACTTTTTTCATAGCTGGTTGAAGCTTTTTTCGTCACCGATCGTAGCTTTTTTTGTCGTAGGTTGCAGCACTGGGCATCTCCATGGGCGCTCGATTTTTTTGTTGCAAGCGGGGGATAAGCGCCGGCGAGCACACCGGTGAGCTCCGGTCGTCGCCATCGGAGCTACAACGGTTGCCATGGAAGCTACAACCGCATGGGTGGGCTGTTGCATGGGCGAAGCCGGTGACAAGGACGGCCGCCGTGGGCTCGGACCGGCGACCAGGGCGGCCGGCGAAGACGGGCGGCGAGGACGGCGATCAGAGATGGGGGAGGGCAGGCGAGGGGCGGCGACGAGGGAAAACGCGTGCGGCCGGCGAGACGGGTTACCTTTTCCCATTCGCGATCGCGAGAGGGAGAAGACTGCCTAATTGGATAAAGATTCAACGGATTGGGACGGGCTGATCTGACGGCTAGGGTTGGACCGGCCGAAGCGTTCTGCCGGTGCGCCGGCGCCTAGCGTCGCGCATTTAGTTTGGGTCTTCGATTGTTTTCCCAATAAACTTTTTTTCGGAAAAATTAAAAATAAACGGCACCGCGTTGGCGGAAGGAACTACCGCCAAATCCAACATCGTGTTAGAACGGCGAATCCGGTGCATCCACACAAACGAAAACCAATAATATGCCTGTCAATTTCAATGATTACATGAGATTGTCGCAATCTTTTGCTAGCGGAATGATTACTTTGCTTGTACTATGAGCTATTGCTAGCGGAATGATTACTTTGCTTGTACTATATGCTAGTTTTGCGTGGCCTACTGTAATACAAAGTAGCTAGTCATGCATTGCGGTGAGTAGTGGAGTAAACACCGATTCAGTACACATTGGGACGACCGGGGGAGTGTCCTCGGCCATGATAACGGCGAGGTAAAGCCGAACAACTAGGCGGTCATCGTGTGTGGCCGGGACAATTGGCTGGTAGTGAAATAGCAGGTGTTTAGGGTCTGCATCGCTGAACGTGTGCCTCATCTTCTTGGACTTGAAGTTCACCTCTCCCTCGAGCTCGAAGCTAAAATCCGCCGTCGTGGGCGGCGTCTCGTCCCCGATGCTGGCACGGAAGAGACGCAGGAAGGCCCACGTGTGCCATCTGGGGCAGAATTTGAGATACCATGTGCATCCGCCCACGGTGAACTGCGTGGAGTAGATACACTCCCCGTTCCGGAGCACGACCCTGAGCTCGGAGATGCCGCACATGGTGAGTGTGTGGGCCCCGGCCATTGCAACTTGCGGCGTCTCCAAGATGGCGTTGGATTTGGACAAGCTTCCGAGGAGGGACCGCCGCTTTGTTCCCTGCTGCGTCTTCTTCAGGGTACACCTGATGGTGAAGCGGTCGTCGAACACGCACGACGATGCCTCCAGCTCCCTCCGGTTAACATACAGGCACGAGGACTGATGGACCTCTTGTTGCATCATGCCCTTGATGGTGTCCTCACGGAAGACTGTGTGCTCGCGGGTCTCGTCGAGGATTTCTATGGAGATGTGGTTGCCGAGGGCCGACTCGAGATGGTGCCTCAAGCTCAAGTCGACGCGCAGGGAAACAACCAATTTGTCCGCTAGGCCGTCAACGAAACGCGTCGGGCGCACGTTTACGTCCCAGAAGAGGCCGCGGAAGAGGATCGTTTGCACATGCTGGGGCTGAGGCGAGCGAACCAGCTTGAAATACTCGAGGACCGGCACCACACACGTCGTCGGCTCCGCCGATCGGCTCGCAGTGGCACCCATTGACGTAACAAATCGAGAAATCTCAGACGGTCGAACGAGCAAGATCGTGCGTATAGTATGCGTGTATATATATAGGCCGGGCGGGGAGGGAGTCAACTTGTCGTTTGCCGAACGGACTGATCTCTATCTTGTCGGCTCTTCCAACAATATAAACAGGTAAGTTTTTTTAGGGAAATATATAACAGGTAAGTTGGTAGTCGCAATCGGATTCTGGTTCATATCTTGTCCAAGAGCAAGTCTCCAAGATCACGTCAATGTGCCCCGCGCTATTTTTGCCACACAAAGGAGATGGCCCGTACTGCATGATCTAGATTTTATCATGCATTATTCATGTATGGGACTACCCGATTGTACATTCAAGCATTTGAAGGACATGTAAGTTGGTTTTTTTAACAACAGACGCAAGCGCTCATATATACGCGTATACACTCACCCATATGAATGCACACTAGTAGAAAACAGGGCTTTGATCATAGCTTAATGTACACATTAGTCCCGGTTGCATCACGAACCGGGACTAATGTGACATTAGTCCCGGTTCGAGCGGCTAAGTCGCCGGGAAGGCATTAGTCCCGGGTCAAATGGGACCTTTAGTCCCAGTTTGAGACACGAACCGGGACTATCGCCTTTTCAGTTTTGTAAAAAACAAAAAAAATGTTAAAAACTTCAAAAATTAAAATCCTTCGTGATGTAGTTATGTTACTACATCTAGTAGTTAGGAAAATTAAAAAGCTTAAATTTGGACATGTTTGGCAAAAAAGTGTTCTGAAAAAGTAAAATGGTCATATCTTTTGCATACGATATAAAAAAAACATAATATATCAAAAAAATCAGCACGAAATTCCGCATCCGATTTTGACAGTCGTAGGCTTGTTTGCAAATTTTTAGAATCCTCAAATTCTAAAAGGAAAAAAGATATGCTCAAATTTCAGTTTTTTTGAATTTTGGTCAAACTGTGGTCAAACTACCTATTCAAGAAATATTAGGGTTACTAAATAATTATTCAAGAATATTAGTGTTACTAAATAATCATTTCAGTTTTTTTTGAATTTTGGTCAAATCTAGTCAAACTGTGGTCAAACTATGGTCAAATTACTTATTTAAGAAATATTAGCGTTACTAAATAATTATTGGTTTTATGAATAATAGTTTCAAACTCAAATGGTGTAACGTGTGACTTCATGCTCAACTTCAACTCCTAAGGATTAATAGGATTGACAGCTTAGTATTGTCAGGAAAACAACAAGTGCGGACTTAAAAACAAGGGGGAATAGAACTCAAAAGTTAAGCGTGCTCAGCCTGGAGTAGTGAGAGGATGGGTGACCGACCGGAAGTTAGATGATTCAGAATGAAGAGGGATGATTAGAGATTAGAGATTAAATTGAGCAGTGATGAGGGGTGATTAGAGATTAAATACAAATAATTCAGAAATTTGAAAATCAAGAAAAATAATTCAAAAAAATTCCTTTAGTCCCGGTTGGTGTTCCAACCGGGACTAAAGGTCGAGCTCCAGACAGCGGCCACGTGGAGGGCCTTTAGTCCCGGGCCTTTAGTCCCGGTTGGTAACACCAACCGGGACTAAGGGGGGGGGGCTTTAGTACCGACCCTTTAGTTCCGGTTCCGGAACCGGGACAAATGGGCCTTATGAACTAGGTGATGAAGTCATGTACCTAGGGTAGGGTCACGGACCTTTCCTAAGTACCCCTCCCAAGGACGTCTTTAGAAGAAGCTTCCTTCCAGTCGACCAAGAGAGACTCCACTCGACGGACTCGAAGGACTCGACCATGAAAACTCACTCGACCACCAGGAGATCAAGAGCCACTCTGCATCCAAAATGGTCTGTAATTAAGTAGTCTTTATGGCCTTGATGACACTTTATGTAGGGCGTTTCTGGTAACGCCAAACCTTTATGTACTTTAAACCCTGCATAACTGAGGGACGGAGGGGTCTGGCAGAAACTATATAAGCCACCCCCCTCCTCAGTGTAAAGGGTTTGCACCCCTGTAACCTACGCACACATAATCCAGTAGACCGCCTCCAGGCTCCGAGACGTAGGGCTGTTACTTCCTCCGAGAAGGGCCTGAACCCGTAAATCCCTCGTCTGTACAACTGCTACATAGCTAGGATCTTGCCTCTCCATACCTACCCCCCATTCTACTGTCAGACTTAGAACCACGACAGTTGGCGCCCACCGTGGGGCCGGTGTCTTAGCGATTTTTGGAGAAGTTGCAATTATTCTGATTGCTTTCATCATGGTTTCTGGTGGAGTTTTGGTCGAGGGCCGCGAGATCCGGCTCGGCGCGCTCACCTTCATCACCGACGACTCCGCTTGGCTCCAGGAGGCTCCACTCGACATCGACGTGCTCCCCGTCCGCGGTGCAACGCATTTTAGGGCATGTGTCCGCGGCGTTCTGCTGCGGCAACCGTCGACTCCGTATCGGTCGACTCCCATGTCGTCCTCCCTCCCTATCTCCCGCCAGGGCAAGCGCTCTGGTCGGTCGAGGCTTCAGCGGTGGGTGAGACATGCGGTCGCTCGCCAATCGGCCACCACCCAGGTCGTGGCAATCGAGCCCGATGAATCTCTCTACGGCCTGTTCGATCTGTCGACTGGCTCCGTAGAGACTGCATCCGAGTGCGACCGCAGTGATCCGGCGGCGGAGGTCTTGATAGTCAATGGGCCTTGTAGCCCTCCCGGCTTCCCCCGCAACGACGGGATGGACGGTGGAGGTGACCCCGCTCAGGCCCATGAGGAATATCAACCCGAGCCACTTTCTTCCTTGCAAAGGGAAGAACTTCGCCGCCGGAACATGGATGCCCTGCATACTCCCATCGCAGGAGAAACCCTCGAGGCTCGTGCCTTGGAGGAGGCACGTTTGGCCAACTTGGCTGAACGCACTCGACTGGAGAACCTCCAGCGAGCACTCGAGGAACGCGCGCGCAACGAGTACCCGACTCTAGTCGACGGCAACTCTTTCCGCAAACGACTCAGGTATATCGAACCCCAATTCAGAATTTAGCAGCTGCCGCCCGTATAGCAGAGTCAATTCAGCCATCTCAGTCGGAGGCTGGCAGAGGCTTGATGTGGATCAGGGATTTGCTCCGGGCAGCAGGAGATCAGAATTCAGCTGTGTCACAGTCATGCAACAGGATTCACAGTCGATCCGTCGCTGCGAATACAGTTCAGTCGGCTCATAGCCCAAGATCGCCTCCGCAGCGTGAGGGACGCGAGGGTCGGCGTGACCAATATGGTGACCGATTCGATCGCGATGATAGGCGTAGAGTGCCCACTCCTCCCCCAGGAGGTGGGTCTTACGCCCATCGACAGCAAGATGACAGGCGCGAGCTCAGTGTTGGGCGAAGAGCTCCAGTCGACCCCAGGGAACTAGGCTTTGACGCACGGTCCATCATCGTGCAAGGTCTGGTCGATCGGAACAGAGCTCATCGAGGTGGCCATGACAGAGATGCGCCCACTAGCATTCGAGTCCATGTTTCAGGTCCAGAATGTTTCAGCAGGGCTATCAGAGCTGCAGTGATTCCCCCCAACTTCAGGTTGGCGACTGGAGTAAGTAAGTTCACCGGTGAGTCCAAGCCTGAAACATGGCTTGAAGACTACCGAGTGGCGGTACAGATTGGCGGCGGGAATGATGAGGTGGCTATGAAGCATTTACCACTCATGTTGGAAGGTTCGGCCAGGGCGTGGTTGAATCAGTTAGCTCCTAGCAGCATTTACACTTGGGAAGATCTTTCCCGAGTGTTCGTCAGGACATTCGAGGGAACTTGCAAGCGACCAGCTGGATTGACAGAGCTGTAAGTCCGCGTGCAGAAGTCGAATGAAACCTTGAGAGATTACATTCAGAGATGGATTACTTTACATCATACCGTGGAGAACGTGTCTGATCATCAGGCAGTCTGTGCCTTCAAGGATGGTGTCAAGAACAGAGAGTTAAGTTTGAAGTTTGGTCGGACCGGAGATATGACACTGAGTCGAATGATGGAAATCGCCACCAAGTACGCCAATGGTGAAGAAGAGGACTGACTCCGGAGCGGCAAGTACAAGCCGAGTCAGTCGGAAAAAGGAAATTCCAATCGGAAGCAAAAGCGTAAAGCCGAGCCAGCGGCTCCTGGGGAGGCTCTGGCCGTGACTCAGGGCAAATTCAAGGGGAAACCCAAAGGATCCTGGAACCCCAAGAAGGTGAAGGATAAGGAAGGAAATGACGTGATGGATCTGCCGTGTCACATCCACACGAAGAAAGACGAAGAGGGTAATTTCATCTACCCGAAGCATACCACTCGCCAGTGCCGGCTCTTGATCCAGCAGTTCCAAGGTAAACAGCCCAAGGACAAGGAAAAGGAGTCGGACAAAGCTGAGGACAAGAGGACAGTGATGGAGGATATCCTCATGTTAATTCCACTCTGATGATCTTTGCTGATGTGGAGAGCAAAAGCCGATTGAAGGTTATCAACCGTAAGGTAAATATGGTCGCCCCGGCGACACCAAGCTATTTGAGATGGTCTCAAACTCCCATTACATTCGACCAGTCCGATCACCCGACTCATATAGCCACCCCTGGGAGGCAAGCTTTGGTGGTCGACCCGGTCGTCGAAGGCACTCGATTGACAAAGGTGCTAATGGATGGTGGTAGTGGACTGAACATACTGTATGCAGAGACGCTAAAAGGAATGGGCATTCCGATGTCCAGACTGAGCGCCAGCAACATGAGTTTTCATGGAGTTATACCTGGAAAGAAGGCTGAGTCACTTGGCCAAATAGCTCTGGACGTGGTGTTCGGTGACTTGAAGCATTTCCGCAAAGAGAGGCTGACATTTGAAGTCGTGGATTTTCAGAGCGCTTACCACGCTATTTTGGGGAGACCAGCTTACGCACGGTTCATGGCTCGACCGTGTTACGTGTACCTCAAACTGAAGATGCCCGGCCCCAAGGGCGTGATCACTATCACTGGCAATCGGAAGAAGGCAGAAGAGTGTTTTCAGAAAGGCTC